AGTAGTCTCTAGTACTGAGGTCGACCAGTTGTCTATCTGATGTCAGGTCGACCAGTTGTCTGTCTGAAATCAGGTCGACCAGCAGCCTCTAGTGCTGTTGGGTTGACCAGAAGTCTCTAGTGTGGTGAGGTTGACCAGTTGTCTGTGTTGACGCAGTTGTTGATTGACAGGGGAAGGGAGGAAGTGGGGGGGGAGAGGAGGGGGGGGGGGGGGAACAGAAGTCTTATACCTGTGAATACATGCCTTATTTCCTGTTTCTACTGAAACAGCTCCCCAAGGAGAGCGTCAGCTTATCCCCCCGACTCCCACCTGATACTGCCTTCCCAGAGCTCCTGTGACAGAGTGCCATAGACTTTGGCTTAGTGGAAGAAAAGTGTGTTCTCTGGACAGTTCTGCAGCTAGCAGTCAAGTACTGGCAAGGTCAGCCTCTTCTGAGACACGGAGGAGAGTCTGCCCATTCTTTTCTCAGATTGCCAGCTACCTCCTGCTCATCTCTGCCTCTTCCGGTCAAAGGGCACTGTCCCTTTCTGTCCCTGCTTCTTCACGTGGCCTTCTGAGATGTGTGACAGTCACTGAATTTAGGGCCCACTCAAATCAGTGCGACCTCACTGTAATGTAATTCCACCTGCCAAGACCTCATTCCCTAGTAAGGTCACAGTCACAGCTGCCCGTCATTCAGCAGATCTTTCTGGAGAACACGGTCTAGCCCATGTACAGCAGAGAGGACTCTTGTCTTGTTTTTGGAATGGAAAAGTCATCATGGACATTCTCTGAACCCGGGGCTCTTTTTCTATTTGCCCTCTTTGGCTAATGTTGAAGGTGTTATTGTTTAATGACTGGCACTCAGTACAGTGTTCGGGGAATTTCAGAAGCTAAGTGTTAGGTGTGGATTTTATCTTAAAGATGTTTATGTTCCAGCCAAGGAGACAAAACACACCAACGTGAAACGGAACAGTTAGAGAGGAGTTAGGCAAAGTTGATCAACAGAGGCACACATGATTGACTGGAACATCAGGGAGGCAACTGAATTTGGCCTTAGAGGATGGAGATATGTTATAACGTGGGGGTGGGAAGGAGGGCGTGGCATTCAAAGAGGGCTTCAAAGAACAGGCCTAAATGCAAAAGTGTGACCTAGTTTACAGAGGACAGTAAAGAGAAACTTATTTAAGAAGGAAGGTTTCCTAGTGAGAACTAAAGAAGCATGAGTTTGGAAGGCAAGGTATTACCCAAGCCATTGGTCTGGGACTCAAACCGTGGTCAGCCCTGTGGAAATCCAGCAACATAACTGCTATGCCATCTGCTGGCCCCAATGCATTGGCTGTTTTTTATTTTATTTATTTATTTATTTATTTAGGGGAGAGATTTTTTTTTTGCTATAGGGCACATGCACTCACCAGAAAGCCAGACAGAGATAGAGAGACAAAAAGTGAGAAATCACCCCCCCGGGGGGGGGATGGCCACTGAGAAATCCCTTCTCCAGTCTCCTCAGGATTTTGGGCACTCACGTGCACATATGCGCCCAACATGAGTTAAAAGCCTTTGAATTCAGAACTCAGACCATGGTCAGCCATGCGGGAGTCCAGCACCCTAACCGCCACGGCACCTGTGCCTGTAGGATATGGGTTTGTTGTTTGTATTTTCTAGTAAAGTATCGATTTCATTCAGGTTTTCAGATTAGTTTGCGTAGAGTTGAGTAAAGTAGTCAGTCTTGTGATTCTTTGGTTTCCTGTATTTTTGTTATTTTCCCCTGATTTTATTACCATCTAAAGAGTCTGATAAATATGTCTTTTATTTTGGGGGGGGGGGGGATTTTTGCTATAGGGCGTGGCCACTAACCAGACAGAGAGAGGTGGAGGCGCGAGAAATCACCTCCCAGGGGGGATAGCCACATTGCAGTCCCTTCTCCTCCATTCTCCTCTTGGGATCTTGGGCACTCAAGCACACGTGTCCAGGGTGAGTTTAAGCCACCGGGTCCGGGACTCGAACCGCGGTTCACTACGTGGGAGTCCAGCGACATAGCCATTACACTAACTGCTGGTCCCAATATGTCTGTTTTTTTTTTTTTTTTTTTTCCTCATGAAAACAAAACAATAAAAGCAGTTTCACTCATTTAAAAAGCATGGTCCCAAACTTTCTCAATCGGTAATAACTGTTCTTGCCACTTTGCCTTAATTTCTTGGAAATTTGTTTTCAGTGACTGTTCGGGTCAAAGTCTAGATAGCAGTCATCTTTCTTTCCCTGCCCCTACCGTACATTCACGGCGTAGGAAGTATGGGGAGCATCTGAACAGCAGGCCCGCTGCGCTGTTCGATGTCCGCGTGCCCTCAGTGAAGCGGGGATTGAGAGTCTTCCCATCTCACCAGACGCGGCAGCTTGCAGTGGGGTCACACAGGTTTCAGGTTGTAAAGCAATGTCGCGTGACCCGCAGTTACGAGATACACACTATGAAGTTCTCGTGATTGCATAAAAGGCGTTCTGAAGTAAATTTACAGTTTCACAAACTTTGTATAAAGCAAGTTTGGGTTAGAGAAGGACGGCTTTAGTATCCTAAAGGAATATAAGGAAGGTGTTCCTCCATGAAACAGCCTATCTTCCCTCCTGTGATTAGATGAAACACCCTGCTTTCTAGAGCATAAGGGACTTCAATGACTGGGGTTCTGCAGGGAGGGAGAAAGATGATCAAAGGTTCAGCTGTTCATTGGAAGGGTCCAATTTTTGTCCTCTAACAAAGAGCACTTTTGGGACCAGCAGTTAACATAATGGCTGTGTCGCTGGACTCCCACCTAGTCGACCGCGGTTCGCGTCCCAGACCTGGTGGCTTAAACTCACGCCGGGCGCGTATGCATGCATGCCCAAGATCCCGAGAGGAGAATGGAGGAGAAGGGATTGTGGCATGGCCATCCCTCCTGGGGGATTTCTCACTTTCTGTCTCTGTCTGTCTGGCGAGCGCACACGCCCTATAGCGAAAAACCTCTCCAAAAAAAGAGCACTTTTAATAGTCTCTGCTTACATAGTGCATCTGACTGTGATCGCGTAAGCTTTTACTCTCCACGTCTCAGCATACGTGTGCCTGCTTTTTCCCTCTACTACCTTTTCTCTTATTTTGTTTTATTATTCGAGTGTAAAATTATGTGTTACTTAAAATGAAGAATTTTCAGGTTTTCATTATTAGATCCCAACCTTTCATTCTGTCAGATCCCAACCTTGTCTTGTCGCACTTAATGTTCTGTATATTTCGAGACCTGCTTTTTAAAGGTATGATGTTAAAAAGAAAATAATTGCTCCCACCGATTTCTCCACTTTCTGAGACATCATCTCTCCTTCAAGGGGCTCAGTTACTTCTTCACCTGCTAGGCGTTGGTTCCGGAGAAGGAGGTTTTAACTATAGATCCATGCTAAGCCTTGCCCAGGAAGTTGTGTTAACATGTATACTCTCGTGACATAGCACTTCTGTTTTTCTACCTACCTTCTGATACTGAATCCTAATAGTATCCCTATATGTTATATTAAAGGCAGGAAGTAAATTTCCATTTATAAGCTGTGAAAGCAGTTGATTAAAAGGACAAAAGTTAAACCATGACCAAACCTGAAATTGCAAGTCTAACACTTAACTCTTTTCAACCATGCAGACTTTGGGAGGTCATCTTTACCTGCGGGACCCCGCGTCCTCCGGTTTATTGGGTTGCGCCAGGTTGAACGTGGACCCTCGCTGTGGTCGAACTGATGATCCGAGTCCCCTGCTTTCCCTTGTTGGAGCTTTCAATTGCTAAGCTCCAAGATGGTCCTGACTAGCCAGTGTTCCAACCTGTCGGCCGTATTCTGTGCTAGGAATTTCATATTACAGAAACTGTTCTTATGTAAAGATCTCCAAATATTGCTTAGATACAATCTGTGTAATTCTCTTTATTAAGAATTATGACCGATATAATTTTGTTTATTTCAAAGTGAGTTTTGCCTTAAACTAAAAATAGAGTCTGGGTCTCCTGAATCTTCACTTGGTTATTGTTAATCTAGCTCTTAATATTCTGTAGCTCCTAATGGCAAGGAGCTCCTATTACTATCCTCAGTATCTCCCTTGTGTTTTCTCTTCTTCCGCAGTCTCACACTTCACCCCTAGACTCACTCTGCTTCTCTTTGTAGTCTGTACTCATAAGGGCATTTGTTGTTATTCTTCAAGTGTCTTTTGTCCCTCATTTGAGCACATTGGGTCCCAGGACCAACCACTTGTGCATAGCATGGCCTATTTTATTCATTCTTGCGAATAAATGTAATAGAAATGTGCATTAGTAGTTCTTACTTTTTTATCATCCTATCAAAAGATTTAAAGTCTCACCCTAATGCTTTCTTCAGAGTTCATTTTGTTAAGTGATCACTTTTTAATGGAATCTTAGAATTTCACAACTCAGCATGAATGATGTTTAAGACTACCTTTTAATCAAATGGAAAGTGATGGAATGGAATATGTTATCTTATTAATCCATCCTGACTCTGTGTCTGTGACATCAGACAAAAACCAGAAATAAGTTACTATTACTAATATGTGTAAATTTCTTATCAGTGATTGCATTCTCTAAGTTTTACCTGTAAAATGAGGTGGTATATCTTTAATACCCTGAGACGTTCTTACCTGCCGGCAGTCTCACCTGCTGGTGTGAAAACGAGTGCAGACGGAGGTGCTCATATGCTTCTGAGCGCCCTCCTCTCTTCAGCCCAGCTTGTCTTCAGCTAAGGCCCAGGGCCCGCTCCCTTGGAGAGGGTGCTGCTCGAGCGGGGTGGCTGTGCCACCGACAGTGGCCTGTTGGCACCATTCTTCTAATGCCTCACGTTTTGTCTCCATTACCCCTTCCTTCGACACAAGCAGCCACTGCATTTTCAGTAGTGAATTTCACATCGCTTTAACCTTATAGGTCCAAGGGTAGCCCAGGATGGCTGCAGCGTCATATGATCAGTTGTTAAAGCAAGTTGAGGCACTGAAGATGGAGAACTCAAACCTTCGACAAGAACTAGAAGATAATTCCAATCATCTTACAAAACTGGAAACTGAGGCCTCTAACATGAAGGTATCAAGACCATGCCTTTTCATTGCAGTTGACCCATTTTTATTCAGTATCCCCACTCATAAACTTGGCATGAGACAGTTTACTTACCTAACAGTGTATCTCAGGGCCAGCCGGTGGTGTGGCGGATCCCACCTGCCCGACTGCATGGCATGAGCCCTGTAACCAATGGCTTGAAAAATACGCCAGGCACGCATGTGTGTGTGCGTGCGTGCCCAGAATCCAGGAGGGGCGTGGAGGAGAAGATTGCAGCATGGCATCCTCAGGGCTGGGAGAGTGCTTGCTCACTTTCTCTGTCTGGCCAGCACACGCATCCTATAGCAAATATTTTTATACCACATTTTAATTTGAATGGTACTATATAAGCTCTTTCTTGTAACAGTTAACATTTATCTTTCTAGATAAAACAGAATCCATCCAGTAAATCAGTTAAAGAATATAAATGGAAAACCCCTAGTTCTTAATTATAATTTTTAAGCTTAAAAATAAGAGACAAAGGGCCAGCAGGTGGCATTGTGGTTAAGGTGCTGAACTGCCATATGATTGACCAGTCCTGGACCTGGCAACTTGAAAAATTCGCTGGGCATATGTGCGTGCGTGGTCAAAATCCCAAGAGGAGAATGGAGGAGCCGAAGGGAATGTAACTGTCCCCCTGACTGGGAGGAGGAAGTGATTTTTCACCTTCCCTCTCTATGTTTCTCTTTCTCTGGCGAATGCACACTATGGCAAAAATCTTTTTTTTAAAAAAGCCAACTTCTTTTAGAGTATGTCAAATATTAAGTGTAGCTGTGCTCCCTCGGATTTTGTCATCATTTAGGTGCAGGGACAGTGATCAGGAAAACCGAGGTGCCCTAGTAGGAAGAGCCCTGACCCCAAAGTCAGTACCTGCTTCTCCTCCTGACAAATAGCCACCTTCAGGACTTAGGTTGTCTTTCTTGGAAAATACAGGTGTTCCACTCCATGGTACCTGCAGGCCCTGGGAATTGGCAAGTGGCATTGCAAAGCCGTGACCACCTCCAAGAAAAGCCTGAGGTAGTCTGCAGTGGGAAACAGGTTCTGGTTGCAAAACAATCAAGGTTAATCCTTGAGCTATTTGACTTCCCAGTTACTTAGGCCGTTTCTTCTCACTGAATTGAATAACCTAGACTAGGAGAACATCAACAGCTTCTTTCTTTTACAAAACTCCTTTACGCACTGGGCTGTTTTAACACCTCCGGGCTCTGACTGTCCTTCCTTTCGGCTCACTGCTCTGATAGTCTTATGTCTGCTGTCCTAATTCTTTCCTATGCATTTCAGGGTCTCCCTTACTTCCCAGGCTTCTCGCATCACTGAAGTACAGTCTGCACTCTTCTTTTACCCTTTGTGTTCGACATCATAACTGCTCAACATTTTATTCGTGTGTACTATTCTATCAAATCTTTTCTTCTTTAATGGCCTACTTCTGTAGTAAAACCACCCCCAGCAATCATAGATCTTCAAGATTTCTACCTCACTTCCTTTTGGAAATAAAGACCCACTATAAACAATTTTTTTTTCTTGCCACAACCTCTGGGTGACTTTAAAAACACCTGAATCGGGACCAGCAGATGGCTTAACGGTTATTTCACTGGACTCCCATGTAATCAGCCACGGTTCGAGTCTTGGACCTGGCACCTTAAAACTCACACCGGATGTGTGTATGCATGTCTAAAATCCTGAGAGGAGAATAGAGAAGGAATGCGTAGCCCTCCCTACTGTAAGGTGATTTCTCGTTTTCTGTCTCTCCGGCTAGCACATGTGCCCTATAGCAGAAATTTCTCAACAACAACAAAAAAGAAATCAAATCAGTTACCTAATGGGCTAAAAAGTAGTAGTTCAGTATTTTAACACTGATAAACACAGTAGCTCTCAAATTTTATACAATCATGTGATGTTTTAAGGTATAGAGTTAAAATATTCTTTATCAGAGCAGCAGGTGGCACAGTGGGTAAGGCGCTGGGTCCTACGTAGCCACCAGCCCCGTGGTCCCAGTCGCAGACCCAGCGGCTTGAGAACATGCCAGGTGCATGTGCATGCTTGCCCAACATCCCAAGAGGAGAATCGAGAAGCAGGGATTAGCAGGGATTAGCACGGCCATCCACACCTAGGGGTGACTTCTCACTTTCCCTCGCTGGCAGATGCTCGTGCCCTAGGGCAAACATCTAAGGAAAAACCCTCTTTCATCTTTTTGACATGACCTATTTTGCTGAGAGCACCTTCTGGCAGGTCTGCCTGGATAGTGAATGTCTGTTTCATAGTGCAGAACTATGAGATCTCTTTTTTCAAACTTTAGATCCTCCTCCACCTAAAGTGGAATGTCTCTCTCAGTGAAAAGACAGGTCACGTCCTTAAACTGTTATGGCAGAATATCAGGTTGACCATTAATCTGTATTGTATAAAGCTACGTCAGGAACAGGGCACCTCAGATGCCGTCTGGATTCAGCCGTGAGGGGAGCATGACCAGCACATGCTCGTGCGGACGCCCCTGGATTGGGCGTGTGGTATCGCTGCAGTCAGACCCTTGTGTCCTGCGATTGTTCACGTATGGCGCCCTTAAGCCTCATGCTATTAACGATGTTAACGAGTAAAAACCATTATCTGTTGATTTGCCTTAGAATGCTGAGTTGTGAAAAGGCACTTTGGAACATTGGCACTTCCTACATCGAGTTAAGGTTAATCCAACGTAATGGTTATCCTCTCACCCCCAAAATCACTTACTAGACCTCAGAATATGTTGTATAGTCTCAAACCAAGTTTCCTGTTCATTAACCTATTTTTTTTTTTTTGGAGAAATTTTCACTGTAGGGCGCGGGCGCTCGCCAGACAGAGAGAGACATAGAGACAGAAAGCGAGAAATCACCCCCCAGGGGGGATGGTCACGTCGCAATCCCTTCTCCTCCATTCTCCTCTCGGGATCTTGGGCACGCACGCACACGCACCCGGCGTAAGTTTTTAAGCCACCGGGTCCGGGACACGAACCGCGGTCGACTACGTGGGAGTCCAGCGACATAGCCATTACGCTAACTGCTGGTTCCCTTCATTAACCTATTTACCTCAGAGGTAAATAAATGTCTCTTCCCACCACATAATTCAAAGGAAGTCTAAGATGCAGGCATTAGGATCAGCTAGTGGCAGAGGAACTGCCTTACGGCGATGAACAGTAGCATCTTAGCATTGTACACGTTGTAGGATGTGCTTTGTGAGGCAGCAGGGAGACGTGTGTACCAGCTGGGGCCGTACTTGGAGATCATGGAAAGTTTTCTTTTGGAGAGGTTTTTGCTATAGGACACGTGCGCTCACCAGAAAGACAGAGACAGAGAGATAGAAAGTGAGAAATCACCCCCAGGGGGGATGGCCACGCCGCAATCCCTTCTCTTCCATTCTCCTCTCGGGATCTTGGGCACGCACGCACAGGTGCCCGGTGTGAGTTTAAACCACCAGGTCTGGGGCTTGAACTACATTTGGCTATGCGGGATTAGAGCGGCATAGCCATTATGTCAAGTGCTGGTCCCTCAAGGAAACTTTTTAAAGGTACATTAATAGCATTGTAAAAGAATCTCTTTTAATACACATATTAGAATATTTACAGAAGAGATTACATGGTATCTGAGATTTGTTCTCAAACAGATCTGGGGTGGAAGGATGGAAGTGGAGGTGAGCATAGGTAAAACAAGGTAGAACCTGAGTCTGTAATTATGACAGCGACACACGAAGATACGTGAGGGTTTGGTATACTATTCTCCATACTCACGTGTGTGTGTGTAGAGTCACGCCATTTTCCTATTTAAAAAAGCACTGTGACTTTCTCAACAACCTAATATATACTTGGAATTTCTGTAGTGAAAATGTAATAAAGGGCCACCCCGTAGCCTCATGATTAAGAGAGCCAGTTCTCACGTGGCCAACCACAGTTTAAATCTCGGCCCCAGCAGGTTGAAATCACGCCAGGTACACGTGTGTACATGTCCCAGATCTCAGCGGAAACGTGGTGTGACCACCCCATGGTGGGGCACGTTCTCCCTCTGTCTCTCTGTCTCTGGTGAGTGCACATACCCTTTGTCAGTAGGAAGAAACCACATTCATCACATACACTAAGTTTATATAGACTACATAAACTAGAAATTGTGTGTGATTTAGATTACCTATTGTAGCTAAAAGTGGGGACAAAAATCGTGTGCCATGTTTTCACTCCAGGACTGGAGGTCAACATGACTGACTTCAGCGGTGAGCACAGTAACAAGCTAGCTACAATCATGTGAAGAGGGGATGCGTTTTAATGGAGAGGTGGCATGATATGGGAAGAATTGCCTAGAGGCAGCTTATTAATGAAGCATTTACATCTTTGTTGTATTTTGACAAAACAAAATATTTATAAATTATTCTAAGGCCAGCCGCAGCGGTGCACAGGTAGTTAAACCCTGGGAGGGTCCCAGGCTAACCTGGGTGCGGTTGCATGGCCCTGTGGGCCTGGCTGGTTGGGAGACTGGGGCAGGAGGGCTGCAGGGTGGCCAGACACTGTCAGAAACACTTGTCTGTCCTCTCTCCTCCCTCTTCCTTTCTCTCATAAAGGGAAAAAGCTTGCTCTATAAACTGTACAACCATGTACACAAAAAGCATCTTGCCTTTTCTGAGTGTAAAGAAAAAAAGGAGAAATAAAAATCCAGATTACTTTATTCCATATTTTTTTGAAGACTTAATTATTAAGTGTACTTGTGTCTGGTAATTAAAAGGATCCATAACTGATGTACTAATAAAGCAGAAATAGGTCAAATAACAAGCCCCCGTGCACAATTGCTTATTAATATGTTCTACTTACTATGATTATAGCATATTTTGTCTCTAATGAAGTCACTCCTCCAAAATTACATATGAACATAACAAGCCGTTTTACTTTCCGGAACACTCTGTTTACAGTTGTTTCGCAGTTATGTTGCATTTTCTTCTAAAAACTTTGAAATGAGTGCCTCTTCTAGGTATATGCAGTG